AGTCTTTGGGAAAGTAAGAGGAAGCCTTTTCAGTGTGCAGGAGGTTTCCACACCAGTGGAAAAACAGGCCTGGTCCTGAGACAGCCCAGAGAGCACCCAGCAGCTCAGTCCCTAAGAGCCCCCTCTATACACCCTTGGTCTGTGGTTGGACCTATGAACAGGCTTAGGAAGCACCAGAAAGGCAGGGAGTGGGATACTGCCTGGGATGCGGTGGACTCCAGAGGTGGCTGAGGGGTGCGGGATTGGAGCCAGCAGTGGTGCTGCTCTGTGTCAAAGAAAGTTCCTTTAGGAGTCTTGGCTGAATCCTGGGGGTGAAGCCAAATCACGTAGCCCCTACTGGTCTCACAGAGCACTCACTTACCCCGCCTCTGCCTTTGCTGTCCCCTGCTCAGTTGGGTCTTGTCCACTGTGCACAGGAGGTGGCATTCTCTTGATCCCCACAGCTTCCCTCATATTCTGATCTTCCAGAAGCCTACACCCCTTTCATGCTGGCCAAGTCTGGTGCCCAGTTACTCATATGTCTGAGTGACACTCACTTTTTCCAAGGCCCTTGCCCTATTAATTTAACAGCTGATTCCCTCCAGTTGATCCTGTCTTTTGTGTTATGGTAATAGTGTTCCTAACGGAGCTCAATTAGAAAGCCTGTGCATAAAGAGCATCCTGTGAACGGGATGGGGGCCAGAAACCCTGTGGCCGTCACTTCCCCTCTGAGCCACTAGAGGGCAGGCCTGGATTCCAGTTGGATTCTGGCCCCAGGGAGTTCTTTGGTACCTGAGCCTCCAGGAGGGGGCACCTTACTGAATGCTGGAGGAGGGCACCGGTAGCTAGCTGGACCTAGAGTCCTGCCCATAGAGGAGCCCCAGGAAGGACCTTGGGCCTGCAAGGAGCAGCTCCAGGGGTTTGCAGCAGAAGACTGGGTGGGGGCAAGACAACAGAGAGCCAAGAAAGCTGGCAGCCTTATCTCTGACCTGAAAGGACGGAGAGCCCTCAGACACCTGCCAAAAACAGGAACCTGAGCAGCTCTGTTCCCACACCCATCGATGGCAAGGGGACAGTTTTTTCCTCTGGGTTGTTCCTCTTCCTTCTGCCTACAGCTGGCAGAACCCATTCTGTTCAGGCTGGGGTGAGTTTGAGCCAGGTGGTCAGTCTGTGCTTTAATTCCTAAGGCAGCATGCCCTTTACACTGCACCCCTAACAAGGGAGAGCAGAGTGCTTTACAAAGGAGTCACCTCACAGCCGCCCCTGGCTAGGTAGCTCCCTTAGTCCTGTAATCAATGGGTCAATCAATCAGCTAGGTGGCTCCCTTAGTCCTGTAATCAATAGGTCAGTCAATCATTATCAACCCCCTACCCTCAAGTTGCCCTAACTTGTCTGCCAGGAGTGAACTCTGAAGGCCGAGTGTCACTTTAGATTGTAGGCAGTGATGTCTTGTTTTCAGTGGCCACGTGCATGCATGTATCTGCAGGCCTGGGAGAGGGGAACAAGGTTGGTCTCACTGGGTTCAGAGACCTGGAAGGCTCACCAGCAAAGTCTGTGCTGTCTCCCAGCTTTCTGTGTTGGCTCTGGAGGGGTGAGGGGTGTGGGGGGGTGGGCAGGAAGTCCTCTCTCAGGGCACAGCCTGTATTTGTTGTTCGTGCCCACTTCCTGAACCTTCCTCAACTCGTTGGAAAAGAAAGCCCACTGTTTGTGTGAACCCTACGTCTGACACCCTCTGCCTTTCATGCTCAGCTTGACTCTCAGAGCGGAAGGTTTTTGGTTTTGAGACAAATGATTTGGGTCTGTGGTGGCAATGAGCAGCTGGACAACCGTCAAACTTCACTTGACCTTGTCCTCCACTGGCTGGGCTCTGCCGCTTTGCCACTCTATCCTGGGTACTTGACCGGAAGTCTCTCATGGACAATGCTGGCCCTCCAATGGGGACTTCTAATTAGGGTTGTGTGTACCAGTATCCTCTCAAAGATCAGGTCGTACTAATATATCATTTTATCATTTTATTTCAAATCATGCTCTCATCATTAAGCACCTACACCATTGTTTCTGATGAGCTCCCAGGGAGTGAGGCAGGATTTCCTAGCAGGCTGTAGATGCCTGTGTGCAGCTGTGGGTGACAGAGCCACCGACTCTGCCTCTCTTTGTTTGCTCCACAATGACTGCCAATTGCAAGCAGTGCAGCTGCCCAGGTGCTGAGCGTGCAGAAGACACTGCATAATGACGTGGTGAACTGAGTGGGAGGAACTCAGTAGGCCACTAGAGGGAAGTGTGAGTGAGTGTACAGTGAGAAGACAGGTGTGTTTCTCCAGGGTCTCAGAGTTGAAAGGCTGAGTGTCAGCCAATTGGCCTTGGGCAGGTGATGTCCAGAAAGACAGGCGTCTTCCAGGCTTTATTTTTCTATCAGAAGGCATTGGGTGGGAGTATTTTATTTAGTTAGTTATATTATATTTGCTGGTGTTGGGAGGGATTGCAGGTCCGCCCATATGCTTGGCAAGCGCTCTACCACTGAGCTGCAGCCTATCCCACAATGGTAAAATAAAGAGAGAGAAAGAGAGAGACATGGGGGGAGGGAAGGAGGGAGGGGGGCGGGTGGGAGGGAGGGAGG